AGTCTTAGGCCCAGCTCACAACCTCTGGCCTCTGGGGAGCAATATCCGTGGAGCGACAGCCGGGGGGGGGGGGGGGGGGGCTGCTGAGCAGGGGAGCTCCCCAACTCAAGTGGTTATTTGAGCAGCCTGCCTGTCGCCCTCTCTCCTCGCTGCTGACAGTGGCTCCGGAACAGACCTCCGGCGTCTGCATTGGTTGCCAGGGATGGATGACCATCTATCTGCCTTGGCTTTACATGAACTGGGCAGTTCTAACCCACAGAGAATGGAGAGCCGGGGAAAGGGAATTGGTTCTAAGCTTATTTCCATGTTGAAAGGCAGTAAGAAGTAATGGTGCTGAGGGAGGGGGTGGTCTCTGAACTGTGAAGTAAAAGGAAGGAATAGGCTGTAAAACTGAGAGTTTGGCCCGGCTGCTGTGGTCAGTGGCTGAACATCAACCTGTGAACCAGGAGGTCATGGTTTGATTCCAGGTCAGGGCACATGCCCGGGTGGCAGGCTTGATCCCTAGTTGGGGGCAAGGTGGTGTGTGCAGGAGGCATCTCTCTCATCATTGATGTTCCTATCTCTCTTTCCCCACTTCCTTCCTCCCTGAAATCAACAAAAATACATTAAAAACAAAAACTGAGGGTTTGGGTGAGAAGTAAAAATTCCTAGGAAGGGCTACCTCTGTGGACAGAATACAACTTAAGGAATAAAAGCTCCAGATTTCATTATTTAACAGGTGTATCCAAATAGCAGGAGGAATTTTAGTATTAGTGAGGCTTGTGTTCTGCCCATCTGTGTATACACAATGCCAATTTCCAAGGCACGAGGTTGAAAACTGGTTTGATTTTATGTCATTTACATCTCAACAGAGCTGGGGGGAAGTGTTAATGTCTGAAAAGACCATCACAGCAACCCCTAGACTTGCGTTTGACCTTGGTACTATGGCCTCCCCAAGCTGAAACAGCACGAATCCTCACAGCTCTTCTCTGATTTATCCCTCCATTACAGGGTGACATTTTTAGCCACACTCTTCTCCTGAGGTCCTGGGAAATGGATAAAACATGATGAAATCCCTCTGGCTGTGCGGAAGGAAGTGATGCCTCTGTTTCTGATTAGTGTGAAAGGCCTTGAATGGGATTAATTAACATATTTATCTTCCGGCCAAAGAGAGTAGGGCTGACTGGAGGCCACCAAGGCCGCTAGTGTTATTGGCAGGATCTCCTTATGGGCATCCAGCCCTATTGTGAGGCTTCAGTGAGCAGTTCCTCACTGTCCAAATCAACCGGGAGCCCAGTGACAGACTCCTGTGACAATCTGTTTACCCTCTGCCTCTCGGGGCTTTCCAACGCTTTCAGAGTGGCTTTTGGCAAATGCTTCACTTTCTGTATCTCAGCTTTCTTATCCCCCAAAGCCTCCCAAACGCAGCATTCACTGATTCTACAGCCTGAACCTAAAGTAGCCATCCCAAATTCCACCCCTCCACGCCCAGGATTTTTCAACTTTCAGCTTCTTACAACCTAGTTCCTACCCTCTGTTTTGCAATGATCACACCAACCTCCACCAAGGTATCTTGACTGATGTGGTTTTTGACAACTACTCCTCCATTGGTCACATCTACTTTTCAAGTACAACTTGTGATATCTGTAAGATTAGAATCCTATATAATAAAGAGCTAATATGCTAATTAGGCTGAACAGCAGAACGACTGTCTGGACAACTGTCCGGAAGGTTGCCAGGGCTGTGAGGGCTGGCCGAGGCTGCGAGGAGCTGTGATGGGCTGCGAGAGGCTTCGAGGGCTGAGCCCCTTGCACGAATTTTGTGCACCAGGTCTCTAGTATTAAATAAAGAAACCCCCTGTAGGATATGGCTAAATGATGTGGACATGTCGTTCCCAAAAGAGGTTCAATTGGCCAATAAACATAAGACAATATCTTCAGCATTGCTAAGTAAAAAAAAGGAATACAAATAAATATTAAATGTAAACTTGACATTCAGAATGGCGAAGATACAAACTCAGGAGTAAATGTTGAAGACTCCCATAGGAGGTTTATTAGTTTCCCAGGGCTGCAAGTACCACACATTAGGTGGCTTAAAGTAATAGCAATTCATTGTCTTGCTGTTCTGGAAATTAGAAGTTCAAAATCAAGGTGTCAGCAGAGCCACACTCCTTCTGAAACTTGTAGGGGGGCGTCCTTCTGTCCATCTTGATGCTCTTGGCTCGTTGCTGCGTCCTCTGCCTCTGTGATCACGTGGCCTTCTCCCTGTGTGTCTGTGTCTGCCCTTTCCCTGTTTGAGGACCCAGTCCTATGGGAGTAGAGCCCACCCACACGACCTCATGTTCACTAACTACATCCGCTAAGACACTTTTCAAATAATGTCACAATCAAAGGTATGAGGTGTTGAGATTTCAAAATATCTTTTTAGGGGACACAACTCAACCCACAACAGTGGCCACGAAAGGGCATAAGCCAGGATACGAACACATAACAACAAAGGACAAAGGAGAAAAGGAGCGTTTCAGTGGCAGCAGCCTGGACAGAGAACCAGCAGGAAGCAGAAATCACATTTCATTTAGTGCCAAGATGCTACTGCACAGCTTGCGGAGGGCGGATGAGAGGCAGGAAGGAGGGGAAGGCTGGGCATTAAACTGGAATGCAAACTGAGTTGATTTCAATGGACAACAATTAAGTTTGCTGATAGCAACAGGAAGTGGAGGTGGGGAAGTTAAAGTCAATTCTGACACATGTGTAAATGAAAGTTTCATGTTTTCAAACTTCTTGGGTAATAAAAATCCATAGTGATCTAATAACAGCCACATGGAAAAGTAGCATTTTATAAACAGACAGGTCAGAGACCAATATAATCACGGTAGGTATTAGATTAAATCTTATGAAATTGCCATTACTTGATCATTTAATTTACAAAATGGCCACTGGATATGCACTCACTCAATGTACATGGAAGAAGGAAGGGCCTGCTGACCTCGTTCAGCAGAACCAGAGGCACTGACTTTGCTCCCTTATATTTGAAAGCTCGGTTCATGTTAAAGAGTCTGAACCCACATCCCGCTCTTGTGAAATGTCTTACCCTCTCTCTTCACAGGTGGCTGGAGCACGCCAAGACTTTAGATGTGAACTTGGAGGAAAAGGGAAAATTGTTCTTTTATGTATGTTTAGGCCTCAGCCTGGGGCCTGCTGCATCCTGGCTGGAGAGGAGGCACGAGACGTGATGGGGGATGACCACTGACAAGGTTCCCATCCAGGGATCCATGTTGTAGCTCTAACAGGGGCAGGAAAAGCCCCCCCCACCCCCCCCCTCCCGCTCTTCCCCTTCCCCTCCCCTCCCCAGCTCATTTCCCTCCACTCCCAGCCCTGCGGTGGTGGAGATGCTGTGGACCAACACCCACCAGTGCTTTTTCCCAGGATGTAGGGCTGTTCGGAGAAGTGACTCCCCGCCAGGGACCCTATGGCTGTGCATCTGAAACCAGACCATGTAACTACTTCTGGGAGTGAAATGTCACCGGGAGTCCCGTGTGACGCTAAAGCAAGAGGGGCTAATGCCGTACACTGTCTTCTTCCTTCCGGTCTGCGGATTAGGGGACTTTAGATGTGAATTTGGAGGAAAATGGAAAGATTGTTTTGTTTGTGAACATTTAGGCCTAAGCCTGGGGTCTGACCCAAGTTTTCCTGCCGCATCCCAGCTAGAGATTGCGCACAAATTCAAATCCCTTTAAGCCACAGAGTAAACCAAAGGGGGCCTGAGTCACCATTGGAGGAAAGCCACTCCGAGAGTCACAGACGGAGCACCTCTGCTGGGACCGGGCCTGCGTGAGAAGTGAACTTGGTGTTTGTGGAGCCACAGACATCTGGGGCTGTTAGAGCAGCATCACCTCGCCCACCCTAATCCCCCCTACACTTCAGTATTCTGAATCCCCATCTATCCCCTCAACTTTCCACCATATTTCCCAGGGCCTGGCCTTGCAATCTCTGTTCTCTCTACCTGGAGCACCTCCTTGCTTTTCCACCTGAAAACCCACCAGCATTCAGAGGAAATGACATTTATTCCGAGTCCGACTTCTTCATGCTGTTTGCTGCCCCCTCTCCTACCCCTGCTGCGCCTTATGCCAGACTCTGCCAGATCCTGTTGACAGTTACCTTCGCAACAGAATGCGAGCTCTTTGAAAGCAAGCACTGATCTTACTCCCTACGTGCAGAGCACGGAATAGGCCTCTATAGTCACCTCTCAGTACTCGGAGCTGGACCGCCGGAGGGGAGGGGTGGAGAGGGCTCTCTGAGCATCCCTTAGTGCCAGGGGGGAGGGTGCAGCTGGTCTGAGTGGCCCAGAGGGCTCCCGTCACTGCTGGTCTGTCCGGATGGGGCTGAGCTATTCCTGAAACCAGGACACACTGGAAGGGAAATCACCAAGTGAACAGCAGGCCCTGAGGACGTGTCTTTTGCTGCTCACCCACGGCTGCAGGACAGCACGGCCCTCCCATTCTCTGAATGCGGGCTTTCGATGGCTGCTGACCATGCTGTGTATGGGCTTAGCTTGAAAGGCAATAAACTGATGAACAAAATAGATCCAGAGACATGGAAGTGTGGATCAGACTGTGGAACCTCAGAGGGAAGGCGCGGGAGGGTGGGTGGGTGGGAAGAGATCAAGCAAAGACCTTGTCTGCATATGCACAACCCTAGGGCACAGACAACAGGGTAGTGAAGGCCTGGAGCAGGCGGGGATGGGGGGGGGGGGGGGAGAGTAGGGTTATTAGAGGTCAATGGGGAGGGGGCGGGCTATATACTTTCACAATAAAGATTTTAAAAAACATAGGAAAAGAACAAAAGAAAGAAAAAGGAAGAAAGAAAGAAAGAAAGAAAGAAAGAAAGAAAGAAAGAGGAAACATAGGTATCCCTGAGTTCAGCCGGAGACTTTTTTGGGTTCCTGTGCTTCTCTGTAGAATTTGGAATTTTTTTGGAGTACAGTAAGGAAATAAAAAACACAAGTCCCACCGGAAGGAGAAGTGCTTTAATAAGAACGTTTATTGTCTCTGCCTGGGTTGCTAGCATAGCTTGTGAAGTGAGAACACCGCTGCAGTAAAAACGGGGCGCGCCGGTCCTGCTCCTCCCCTTCGGGCGGACGGGACGGACGGGACGGACGGACGGACTGGACGGATGGACGGGAGGCGCCTCACCCTACGGGGTGCCCACCAGGGCGGTGGTGGAGTAGGAGTAGGGGCTGAGCAGCGCCGCGATCGTGTAGCGCCGCGGGCCCGAGTCGTTGGCCGTGAACACCACCTGCGGGAGAGAGAACAGGCACGTTTCCTGCAGCCCCGCCGCCGCCGCCGCGGGCCCAGCGCCCACGTGGACAAGGCCTTCCATGCACCCGCGTTTCCCGGAGCAGCTGGAGCAAAGCAAACGTCCCACTACGTCCTCCCGCCCGCCGCCCGCCGCCCGCCGCCCGCCGCCCGCCGCCCGCCGCCCGCCGCCCACCGCCCACCGCGGGCGGGGCCTGTGCAGCCCTCAGAGGAGGCCCTCTCAGCTGCTGCTTATGCAAATTCAGCTGACAGTCACGTGGCCCTGCAGCCGGAGGCAATCCCAGAGTGCCCAGCGGCTCTCCCAGAATGCCCAGCGGCTCTCCCAGAATGCCCAGCGGCTCGCCCAGAATGCCCAGCGGCTCTCCCAGAATGCCCAGCAGCTCGCCCAGAATGCCCAGCGGCTCTCCCAGAATGCCCAGCGGCTCTCCCAGAATGCCCAGCGCTCCCCCCGCCCCGCTTTGGGAAGAGGGGGGGGAGAGAACGCAGGAAGGCGCTCAGCGGCGAGGCTGCAGACTCGGGAGCCCTGGGCTGTGGGGCTGGACGGGACGCTCGGCTCACAGGTAGGCGCCCGGCTCTGACTGCGCTGCTCGCTCCAAGTGCGCGCCGGACCCAGACTAGCGGTCAAGGCTCCGGGGCCCAGCGCCGCGGCCTCTCCCGTGACTCCCATGCGGTCGGTGTGTGTTTCACGTGGGTCACGAGCAGTGACGCGCGGAGTGAGAGCAGCACGGGGCTCCGTTTGTGAGCCGGCGGGGGAGGAGGTCCCGGCGAGGTTCCTACTCGGGCCAAGTGCCAATCAAGGCAGTCACGTGCGGGCACACCCGGGGGCGACGGGCACACCCGGGGGGGGCGGGCACACCCGGGAGGGCGGCGTGCACACCTGCGGGCGGCGTGCACACCTGCGGGCGGCGGAGACCCCGGTGCTGGGGCAGTTCGGGGCCTGGACTGAGGCGAAGGGCGAGAATTTGGGTTCAGGAGCCAGAGGACGGCGAGGAGGTGTTTTGTTTTATTTATTTCGTGCTCAGGCCCTGGATTGAGCTTTGGACACACCCTGGAAAAGTACGTTTTGTTCCAAATGTGGAGAAAGGAAATCTTGATTACTTGGGGGCAGGAGAAAAAAAAGATGTGATTGAACCACATCAAAACCAAAAATAGCATCAGGGAAAGGGGGGTGAGAGTCGCTAAGACTCTCTCTGAAGGAGAAAGGGCAGTCCCTGAAGGCCAAGTGTCTGGAATCAAATTAGAAAACCCTTTCTTTTTTGTGGGGGAGGGCTGTTTGTACATCAACTTTTATTTTTTATTAAAAAAACCTTTATTGTTGAAAGTATTACAGATGTCCCCATTACTTCCCCATTGACCCCTTCTAGCCCACATCCTTGGCTCCCAACCCCCCATCCCAGGTAGGCAAACGTCTTCTCTCTTAGAGTGACATGGGCCTCCATTCCCATTTAATTCTTTCTAGAAATCGTAAAGGGCATGATTTGTGCCCAGAATTCCATGAAATGAAGAGGACAGATAGCTCCCGAGGAAATTCCTAACTTTCCCGCCAAAAAGGCCCGTGGGGTTGGCCAAGGGGAGGTGGCCGGCGCTGAAGGACAGCGGTGTTGGGGGAGGTCTTTATCCGAAGGAGCTGGCGGGAAAGGAACTCCCCGCCGAGCCCACCGAAGTGGGGCTCACGCGTGACTACTCGCTCTCTCGTTCCCCATATCCATTCAGGATCAAGGGGCTCGTGGTCCTGCCTAACACGTTCCAAGGGCAGAGATGTGTTTTCTCGTTTGCATCTCTAGCGCCGAGCAGAGTGCTCAACGCATAGGTTTTTATTTTTAAGTGTTTGTTGGTTGAATACTAAGAGGGTGAAGAGTGGTCTAATGAATAGAAGCAACGTCGTGAGTAGCACGGAACCACGAGGCTGAGATCTAGGGCAGACAAGGGTCGCAGGGAGGCGGATCCGGTGCTCCAGGATAGGGCCCGAGACTCTAGGACATGTGTCTGTCTGTGGTGGGCACCATCTAAACCTGCACCTGACTGCGACCAGCGCCGGGGCTTGCTACCTGGCTGAGAAGTAGCCAGAGACATGCTTCTTGGCAGACGGGGTTACCTTCCTCACTTGTGGGCCCCGGGTGTCAAACAAGCCCCTAGTTTCCCTGGCAACACTGTCTACTAAAAGAACCCTTGTATGTCTTTGGAAAGTCTCATCCATGACTAAGCCAGAGAGAATGGTTCCCTTTCATGCCAAGCTAATTTTGGTGCATTAGTTGATCTTTAACTCTGAGCACCATGTGTGGATTCTATTTCCACGGCAGCCATCTGTTTTCAGTGACTTAAGAGATTGCAGACGAGGGGGAGGCAGAGAGATGGGCTCATGGATAACTCTGAGGTTCCTAGTACCTCCTAAGTAGAGGACTAGAGTGTGCACCCGGGGTTACAAATGTGGTATTCCTCTTCTTATTCTTGTTAGCTTGGCTTCTTATAGGAAGAAAGCCGAGGCACACCTGAGTCTAAATTCAGCGTGGGCCCTGTTGGAAAATATTACTGTTTCTCCCCTTACCAGCCCTGTGACCTTTGACAAGTTAATTAACTTCCCTGAGCCTTGTTTTCTTCATCTGTACAATGGGCATAAAAATAGGACTGACTCCAGTGGATGGTTTATGAAGCTTAAATACAGAAAATACAGCAGTGTCTGGCATGTGATAGATGATGAATGTTTTCTATTGTGTTGCTGTTATTATTTTGAATTCACCATCTCTATGTGCATTGTCCCAAAACACTTATCCAAACCTCTGGGTTCCAGATGTGTTTTGGAATGAAGAATGTTCCAGGTTTTAGAGAAGTAAAATAATACATCTATCTTTTGTTACATAACAGCCTAAGTGACCTGGAGGGCTGCCCAATCATTCAACATATTAATATTTTTCCAGCAAACAAACAAGTATTCATATTCGGTAGAATGAATGAAGACTATAATATAAAGAGCATTGCGTAAGTTCAGGTCATGTCACTAAATGAGTTTTTACCTAACTCAGTGAGAAAGTTTGCTTTTCAGGGTTTGTGGATTTCTGGTTGTAGAAATGAGAAAGGGAACCTGGGACATGTCAATGCCATTTTTCTGGTATGCATTTCCAGGGGTCAGACAGTGCAAAATGTGCATTTCCCAGCGATTAGAAGCAACAACCACGAAATCAAAATCAAAAGCACCTCCAGTGTCTGCACACTCACCTCTGCATATTCATGGAACGGGGAGATGCCTAGCTCCTTCCAGTAGGCTTTGGTGTCTAATTCCACTTTGTATATCCCTTCCACAAACTTCTCAGGAGTTGTGAGCCCATGGAGCTCTCCAAATTCACTGGTTTTCCTAAAAGGGGCAAAGGTCCAGGCTAAGTTAGGCTTTAAGGGCAAGGTGACACCACACATACACACACACACACACACACACACACACACATACACACACAGGATTCTACTGTCTGAAATTCACTGACAGGAAATTTGTCAGAAATGTTTCTAAAAGCTCATCATAGGTGTTTTCCTCTTAGGAGAACAAGATAGAAGTATAATGTTTCACCTGAAAAAGAGTCGTCACCATTCAGGGTTGGTGTTTGGGTAAAGCTTCATGACAACCAAGTGGCCCTAAGTCACTCTGACTCCCGTTCCTCATGACACTAGGGTTTCACCCGTGATGTGAGGGTCTTCAGAGGGGTATCATTTGTACACATAGTGGAACCCCAAAATACAATGAGAAACCTGCATCTGACTTTTCCTTGTTTATACATGTAATCTCTTTGGTAACTCTTTGCCAATAACAAATACTAGGCAACTGCTTTTAACTCTTTTTAAAATTAGGCAACCTCTATTTCCATACAAGTTCTAACTCAGTAGCTGTTGTTGTCGTCCATCATTTTGCAAAAACTAAGACAGATAAAATGGAAAGTATCTTTATTGCCTCTGATCTTTGCCCTCCCACCATTCTTTTTTTCCAGGAAGTAAGTCTTTCAATATCCCCCCTTTTTTTGTCTTGTCATAAGAAAAAAGATTCACAACGGACATCTGAATATCCATTCTATCTCTTGCTTAGAATACTCTCTTAGCTGCTTTCCACAGCATTTTTTTTATAAATGTAAATGAATTAAGAAATAAAAACTCAATTGGAACCACACCAAAGAAAATGGCCTTGCCAGTGATGGGTAAAGAATCATAATGTGGTCCTTGGATTCAGTTAAGACCCACAGGAACTTGCCTCCCTGGAGACAGAAACACTTAGCAGGATTACTTTCTTGGGAGGGTCCTTTCTTTCAATTGCTGATGGAGGGTCACGAATATGCACTTAATAAAAAGCCTTGCAGGTGGAGGTGGAAAAACTCCCTAACAATTGTGAAGCGGTCGGTGAAGGTCATTTTGCCCCTGGCCTGTGGCTGGGCTTTGCATGATGTCTGTCTATGTCTCTGTCTCTGTCTCTGTCTCTGTCTCTGTCTCTCTCTCTCTCTCTCTCTCTCTCTCTCTCTCTCTCTCTCTCCTGGGCCCTTTCTTACTGAGCCGGACAGCCCCCAGCCTTGAGGAGCAGGCGCTAGCGAGCACCTTTGCTAGCGAAGGCCCTGGGTTCTGGGTGATCCAGTAAGGTACAGACAGGCGCCTGGTCACCCTGCCCCTCAGTTCCTTTCCTCATTAATAAACAAACACGCATTGTATGTCTTGCCTGCTATTCCAGGACAAGGACTCAGCTGGAGTTATGTCCGGGCACCAAGGAAACCCCTGAAGTTCCATGTGCACTTTTGCACGTGTGTATATATGTGTATTTTCCTGGCACGGAGTCCCTCATTTTCATCACCTTCTTAAAGTGATCTGTGCCCCTAAGGGGGGTGATCCACCGCTGGGTGGAGCAGGTGGTGGGCTCCTTCTTCCCACTGTCGGCCCTCAGTGCTGCACAGGCTCCTGCTCACCCCCAGTTATGCAAAGCCAGGGAGGGCATCCTTCTCAGGGGCCCTTGACCTCTGCCGGAATTGTCAATCTATTTGTAGATTCTTAAGCGAATGATGTGATCCCCCCTCTCCACCCGTGGCAGGCGAATGGGAAGATAAACCAAAGCCCACGTCTGGGCGTGTGGGCAGCTTACCCCTCGGCGAAGGGCTCCCAGGCCCCATCAGCAGCCTTCTTGAACACCTTCACGGCTACGTTGACAGCAGGGCTGCCTCGGACGGCATCCAGGACCTTGACCATCAGGGGACACTTGGACTCGCCCTGGGCATGGAGGGGACAAGTGAGAAGTCAGCAGAACTGTCAGGAATGAGAGGCTCTGTTCCTTCCGGTGCTGGGAATCTGGAATGAGGCAGGTGGTACATGCTGATGCCATTCCAGCAGCACACGCGTGACAGTGAGCTTCCCCGACTCAGTGGAACACAGACCATCCAAAGCAGGGACGGTGTCTGCCTCCAGACACGCTGCAGTTAGGTGGGGGCGTGCATGATGCATTTTAGGGGCGCACGCAGGCCCCTCAGCACAGGTGCTTTGTTAAGCCTTGTCATTTGAGTGGAATTACTGAAAAGATGTCATGTGCCATCGAGCCAAGTCGTTTTCCCGGAGAGCATTTTAGCCAGTTGCTGCTGCAGTAAATCCCTCTTACCAGTTGCAGATTAATGTCCGGCTACCTCACGATTGGATAGTATTAGCTCATTCTTCTACAGGAATTAAGAACTACATATCTGACTAGAACGCTGTCTCCAAGACTTTCACAGATTAACCAATACATGCATTTAGATTAACTAATCTAAAGGGAAAACACTTTATAAGAGGATGTGTTTCTAAAAATTCAATATTAATAGCTTCATGAACAATCTGTCTTTCTTTCTACCATCTGCCTGGGGAAACTGAGGCACCAGGCATGGCAACCCCAGTGCACCAGAGCTGTTGAGGAGAGCGCCCAGAAGCCAAGCCCCCGTTCAGTGAGCTCTTCAGAGCTCCATCCTTTTTGAAGTTGGAATCAATAATGTTTAAAAATAGATTCCGGTACCCTGGTCCTCAGAACAAAAGCCGATGGCGAAGCTGGAAGCAGCGGCTTCTTCATCTAGCGTACATGGGAGATGCACACAAGGGACTCAGACACTCACCACAGGCCCGGCCTCCGCCACGAACACCAGTCCCGCCAGGCAGAGGAGCAGGAGACGGAGGGCAGCCATCCCGGCAAGAACCACGGGCCTCAGTGCGGATTGCTGCAAGCCTGAGGCTTTTATACCCACTTCCCCCAGGCCAGGCCGCTGATCCCTGCCCACCTGACCCCCAAACTGCTGATTCTGATTATTGACTTAGTCAACAAAGGGAGAATAAGTAACTCACTCAAATATGAACCTTGTCTAGAGAGATTAGAGCATTGGAACATAACTATGAAATATTCTTAACGGCTCATCTGACCAGCTGGGCGTCCCAAAACAAAACAGCCAGAACAACACAGAAATATTCTGCTCCCTCCTTGGCTGAATGATGTGACATTCTTGGGATTTTTTTCTTCCTTTACCTATTTCTATGCATGTTTTTCATTTTCTACACATTTTATCTTTAATGTTAGATGATAGATGCAAGTTGTAATTACTTTCACACCAAATGACTTTTGCTGCACAGGCTTAACTACAGTGCATTAGAAAACACCACTGCACTTGGTGCATGTCTGCGAGTCAGCAAGAAAAAGTCCTTGGCAGTGCTTACATTTTTAAAAGTCTGTTTTAGCCAAATTAAGTTATTTGGAAGGTTTTTTTTTAGTCAGCAATTTCTCCACAGTTTTGTTGTTCCTCCCAGACAAGGCTCGTGCCAGCCCAAAGAATAATGCCACACTCCAAACTGGCACCGACGAGCCCACAATACAGAGAACCACACATCCTTCGCTGCGTCTCCTGCATCGCACGTGCACAGACCCAGCTACCCAGTCGACTTCTGTCAGAGTCCAAAGTTCCTGCAGGAGGGAGAGGCGACTGTGAGAAGTGGAAGCCACAGCTGACAGGTTCTCTTCCTCGTGGCCTAGTGAAAAGTCCAGGAAGTATAAGACCTTATGGTGCACCATCAAGTACCGACTCTTGTGTGTATGTGGATCTGCATACACACGTGTGGCTTTGTCCATGGGTTAAGACAGGTTTTGGGCCTGCCCACGTGGCTCAGTGGTTGAGCGTGGACCTAGGAACCAGGAGGTCATAGTTCGATTCCGTCAGGGCACATGCCCAGGTTGCGGGCTCCATCCCCAGTGTGGGGGTGTGCAGGAGGCAGCTGGTCCATGATTCTCTCTCATCATTGATGTTTCTATCTCTCTCTCCCTCTCCTTTCCTCTCTGAAAACAATAAACAATATTTTTAAAAAGGCAGGTTCTTACCTTACAGAGATAAATAGGTAGAAGACATAGAGGAGACAGATAAAATTTTTGGACAAACACATGGTAAGGGTGGGTCCGGGTTGGGGCACTGAGAGTTGCAGGAACATTCCTGTAGCTGACAGAGCCACGTCGGAATAAACTCCATGAGAGACCAGGAAGGAAGGGGGTGGAGAGGGGGCACAGGAAGGTGTCAGGGGCCTGGAAATGTGCAGGAGAAGACGAGGGGAGAGCGGTGGATCACAGGAGGGCAACAGGGAGCAAGCTCAGTTCTGAGTGTGGCCGGGACTGGAATCTTCCTGCCTGGGAGTCTGGGAAGCACCAGGAAGATTCTGAAGGTGGAGTTAGAGGACCCGAGTCATCGCTTCCCAGTTCTGCACCCAGCTTCCCAAGTGCCCTCCGCTGAGTTACTTACAAAGCAGAGACGTAGCTTATTCACTTGTACAATAGAAACACCTGACCTTACCTTGTCTTCCAGTATTCGCTTGATTATTTCCCCTTGCTCAGAACTTGGATGGAGAGCCTATTTTCTGTATGAATTAAAAACATTTGCAGTCTCTTGTATCTCAAGGGACTTCCATACATGCATCTTAATGCTACATTCTGTTCAAACCTGGAAATGTCATCGACACTACAAACTAGCAATCCTGGGTGGCCACCCCTCCGTAGATATATGTTCGGTCTGTAGGTTGTCTCTTTAAAAGTTTTGAAATAGCTGTTCACATTAAAAATTGAGACACATTGCATACGAATTTGGATTTCTGGCTTCTCTTGAGAAGTCAGAAAAGATGGCCTCGCTTAGGCCCACGTTCACATTGATGTTTCTCTCTGTCTTTCCCTCTCTCTTCCACTCTCTCTAAAAATCAATGGAAAAATAACCTCAGGTGAGAATTTAAAAAAAAAGGAAAGGAAAAATTTGGCTGAGACCTAAGGATCCAATGTATAGTTTGAAGTGAAGGAAGAGAGTCCCAGGAGAAGAAGCTGACTGGTTCAGGAGAGAGAAGGGAAGGCTGAGAGCAGGAAGGAAAAAGCAGAAGAGCGTGGGCATGCATTCTCGGTCAAAGGACTGTTTGGAGGAACAAATGGCCATCGCAAGTACAAGGAAAGCCCAGCGTTCCCTGCTGAGAGGAGTTTGTGAGGAGGGCTTCTGGGGACCAGGAAGACTCCAGAGATAAAGGGTCTGCCTTTCTTGTGTTTGAGTTTGTGGAAGCTCTTGTAGGGAGATGGCTACGTAGGATCCACCAGTTAAGGTCAAGGGTCAGCACATTCCCGGAGTCCTAAGTGGTTGCTGCAGAGACTGTGTTCTGGAGTGAATATCGGCAACAGTGAGGATCCTGTGCCAGGAAACAAGAGGAGGCTCAGTGAGATGTTTGCACAGTAAAGCTTTGTTCTTTCTTAGCCACGCGGTTTTCTCTACATTTTGACTATAACCTACAAGATCAGTGGAAGTAAAATAGACTAATTTGATGATGAGCATCCTCCTCCTCCAGATGATGAAGTGGTTAATGAGTAACTCAGACCTGTGCTTGGTTTAAGGTTCTTCAGCCTTCTCCCTTATAGTGGACAGGCGTATTTATTAACATTTTAAAGTATCATAGATACACCTTTATTTTTCTTCATTTATTTTCTGAGGGTGCACATGAACTGCTGGCCAGTGATCTGTTCACCTTGAAATGCCCTCTGATGTGATTTTGAGTGAGCTGATTAGCCAGAGTGGAGAGTTGGCTGGTCAAGTGCTTGAACTGGTCCCAGGGGGGTGGGGGGGTGACAGAATTTGGGGGCTTAGACCTTTGCAGGCGAGAGAATTTAATTTTGTCAGCTCCTCCTCAGAGTTAAGCCCTGGGGGTTTGATTAATAGTAAGCAAATCATAAAAGACTCATTTTAAAACTGTAATATCAATTTAATTAATAGTCATATGATTGCTGAGTAAGCGAGAAATTAGAGCAAAGGGATTTGGCTAACTTCTTGAATTTACACTTCACCATAGAGTATGTTTTTCTTGTGCTTGGAGTGCTTGTGTCCGCCTTAGCTAGTGCGTCTTTCCTGCAGGGATTGCGGAATCAACACTAAAATGCTATTTCCTTTGTCTCCCCTTCTTTCATTTTCTATTTGGACAACCATCTAAGTAAAGGCAAACATTATCTAGAATATGTTAATTAGATTGCATTGTATTTTTCACTAATTGTCATTTTAGTTTCAAGGTTAAATCTTAGCGGTCAACCTAGTTGGGAGCAACAGTTGGGACCTGCCTCGTGTAAGAACCTGCACAGCTTTTACCCTGCCTGCTGCCGTACTTGGGGACTTCGCAATCAGGAGCAGCCACCCCCGCCCACCCTAACTTAACTGCCCACCCTGTCTCTACCTGGGGGACTTCAGTGTGCCTTATATCAGTAGCTCAGATGATTCAAAGTCAAGACATCTCTCTATGCGTTGGTCTGAATTTATATCTGTCTCAGTCATCACAGATGTGTTAAGGATTTGTATCTAGAATTGGCCATAAGATGAGGTTAGCGTTTTGCCTTGTAGAGTTGCGCAAAGCTTACCCACCCCCACCTATGAGGGGAAGAAATGCAAACAGAAGAGGAAATAGAAGGCTCTTTTACCCAGTTGGCAGTTTTCTTTGGGTTTCTCTCTGTTTTCTCCCCTGTAGCCTTCATGCAAGTTGATGGCAATGGGTCTGAGGTTGCAGGCCACTTGGGTGGGCCTATTTGGCCAGGCCTGTGAAGAATAAGCAGGGACCAGGGAATGGCCTGGTGGAAGGTGATGTGGGACAGACTATGAGAGAGTAATCGAGACACTGAAGCAGGTTAGTATGTGAAACCTGAGTGAGCAGAGTTGGAAGAGTACCTAGCATGGCCTGATAGCAGGACTGGAGCAGTGTCTACTGCATGGATTATGTAAGCTCACGAAGATGAGCCAAAACAGTGTGCAGTTAGATTGTGCAGGCTCTTGAACGCTCTCCTGAGAAGCGTGAGTTTTCCTATAACAAGGACATAAACCTTTCTGGTAATTTATGGCTATGACTCATGGAGTTCTCTGCTTCATGAGGTGGGTAAACCCATTGCCACTAGGGTGCCCATGTGACAGCTCACTGACCATCAAGGAGGTGTATTGGGAGGTGGGGCTTCATAGTGGGTTTGAGATGGGAATTCATGGCCTTCGAAGTCCGTTCCAGTAACAAGCCTATATAAAGGAATTAGTGAGAGTGCTGAGTGATAGAGTGAGAGAATGAAAAGGTATACACTGGAGGAGGAGAATCTACAGGCTTAGAGACTACTTAGAAAGCTATTGTTGTTGTCTTGTCAGTAGGGTAAAGGTTACCTGTATCCTTGTCCTTCTGTAGTTATTGCAGATCCTTGAGTCTGTATGCACACATGTATTTATTAACCTAGAATTAACCTCGTCATTCAGTTATTGAATCGTTCAGTCACTGTTTGTGGGGGCATCCTCTGCACGAGGGGCAGGATTTAGTTGGTGTTTTGAGTAAAATTCAGAAAACGTGTGATATTGGATGGAAAAAATTGCAACCTTATTTATATCTATTTCTGATTGAAATTTGGCATTTCCTTAAATCACAAATGTAGTTATTAACAGTATCTATGACTTTGCCACCAATAGAAATCAGAGGTATTTTCATATACATCTTATTGATGAATATATCCTTTATGCTCATCACTACTTTGAAATTATTGTAGTTGTTAGATCCAGTGCTAGATTTTGTAATTAACAAGGATGCACACATATTACTGTACTACAATTTAAAATGTTTTAATAGTTGTCATTTTAATGTAATTGATTTTCTTTGTAATCTTATGTATTCAATTTTGTGCACAGTGAGGTTAAGAACCTGGGCAAAGTGACAGAATAGACCCCAGGCCCGCATGGAT